CCCCCCCCCCCCCCCAAAAAAAAAACAGACAAGGAAAAAATAAAAAAATAGAGGTCTAGAATATTTATGCTGCAAAGTCGACATTGTCCAAGACAGCTACCCTTTGTTGAGGAGAAAATAGTTCTTTTAGACAGGTGAACATTTTGGACAGTGTCATAATGGTATGTAGAAAAAATGTAAGGTGGGAAGTGGTCGTTTGTACATGTGATTGTCTTAGACAGATTGCCATTAGAGCAGGTTTAAATGTATTTTTGCCCTCAGGGTGCAGAGAGCTGATGATTATGTACCCGACCTCAGAAGCTAACTCGTATCTTTGCTTTGTTTCCAGGTTTCTTCCTACCTGAAAAAGAAGTCTGAAGAGGCTGGTGAGTCCGGGGAATCGTCAGATGATCAGCATAAAGAAATCATCACACAGATCTTTAACCATGAAGACAAAGACAAGGATGGATTTATCTCCCATGAAGAATTTAGCGGCCCCAAGCACGATGAGCTCTGAGCGGAAAGTTGTTACATTCCATAGTTTGTGGAGAGTTCTTTTGTGTGATTGTGAGCAAATGTGATGGTTTTTATTCACAAATTCTAAGTCATGTTAATTATATTCTGTGTATTTGTCTTGTTGGTGTAAGTTGAATGATATTACATTGTTCTTTTATACTGAAAAGATCTATACAGTGAATTTTGTTTTTGTTCATAGCGTTTCTGAAACCTTAGAAAGGGTGCACTTTTTTCTTGTAAAGTGAACCATTATTTTTTTTTTTTTTTAAATTTACCAAATAGCTGTTGTGTTGCTCTTAGTTGCCTTGGAAACAAGTGTTGGTAGTATGGTAGCCTGTACACATTTTGAACCCTTACACTTTTAGTCTTAATCTTGTAGGCTTGACGCCTACTGTTGTAGATATTTAGGCTATTGAATTTTGATATTAAGCTATTATTTTATCAGTGCATGAAATCATGCAGTTATTTCGTTGCAAATCTTTTTAGAATGTTGTTGAACTGCAAGATTGAGGAATGAGTGTGTTTGAAGATTACCGGAAACTGTTTGAGAAAGGATTGTGTCGATTTGTTTTAAATGATGTGCTTTGCAAAGATGATTTTTTTTTTCTTTTTTGTCAAAGTGCTTCCTAAAGTAAAGGGCCATATTAATTTTTTTTACTGAGCATAACACAGTGATAAAATCTTTTTGTCTTTTGAATCATTTTTGAGACATCTACATTGTATACATTAGAAGTCACAAGATTGTGTTCTTTAAATGTCATAAAATTAATGGAAAAGATGACTCTTTACTTAACTTACGTAATTAGTTCCTATTTAGTGTGATGAGTTGTTCTACCTCTCAAGCTTTCATGTGGCGTTTGATGGCTTGCATTTTGCAATTAAAATCTTGAAGCCATTTATAGTAGAATTGCTCAACAATTAAATCACCCTTTTAGTTTTACTATTTCCTACATGATAGAAGGTTGCAAGTAATTCTGAATTATGCTTTGCCATGTAATTAGTGTTTCACAAGTTTGTCACTTTTGTTGAGTTTTAAATTTTCTGATGGCTAATACAGTGACAGTGACATTTTCTTTTTTGCACAGTGCTTTATTTTTTTCCCTTTTTTGATAAACAAATGTTTGTTATTGCGAATGAGTGAAATGAAACTTCAAACTTCAAATAATTTTGCTTTAAAGCTCTTAAAATTTACTGTTGTTTTTCTTTTCTGAGCTTTATTTTACTTTCTCACTTGCTTCCCATGCAAGTTTGGAACCCACACCACCCCCACCCTTAATGTTTGGGAGTATAGTAGCTTTGCAGCTTCAGTGAATATGGAGATCTTCTGCTCCATTTCTTCTCTCTTTGCTTTTTTGTAGTGGATGCATTGGTTGTCACCAGAATTTTTCTATTTGCAATGAAGAAGAAAGTATTTTTCACAACTGTCTTCAGATTTACTGAGGATTTGACTGTTCTATTAGCCTCTGCAACTTGAGTGGAAAACTTGATTGAAATTAATTAAGCTTTGGGCACATTGAGGACTTGCATATATTTTGTTTGAACAGTGAAACTGGTTTGCTTTTCTGTAGAGACAAAGTTTTATCAGAATAGCAACAATTCTCTTAGAAAAAAATTGCAGTCTGCATTGTGCCTTTTGCACCATCTTACTCTTACTGTTGATGATGATAATGTGGTGAGAGCGTGCGAATTGTTTGACACTGTCCTGCCATTTAGTACATTGTATCGGACACTTTCCATTCATGATTATCATATAATTTTTTAATAATTTGTTTTGAGACTTAGGATATACTTGTTACAAATTAGAAGTTTTCTCGTGATGCAGGAAATACATTCACATTCAGGCCACTGGTGCCGTGATGCGAGTGAAATTTTCTGAACCTGTTGGCTTTTGTGATTGATGCAGTGTTTGGCCAAGACACATTTTATATCAACACTTTATCTTTGTCATATCACACCTGATATATCAACTGGATTCCAGTCTCAGTATTAGAATTGACGGCCAGACGTATATTTAAAAATTTACAACAATAAGCATTTTGTTGAGAATAGTGAGTCAGTCTGTGTGCTATATAATAATAATTATATGCTACCGAGGCTTGCAAGCCTTCACGTTTGTTTCATTGTAGCCTACTTACCCTATCATGTTATTGTGCAGGCGAAAGATCACATCACAGAGATACTCAGTTGAATGGGTTCAGAGAGAATACAATACTTCTTAAATCTCTATGGCGACGATATTTCTTCACACTAATGAGTCAAATGCAATGTCATGCGGTTATAACAACAGAGTTGAAAAAGTGTATTTTGCGCCAGTTTAACAGTTACCTAGTTATTTTTACCTTTTATACTCTCCTGTCTTAGAGTGCCTAGAAGACATTTTAAGATGCTTGTCAGAAAGCTTTTTTGTACCTTTGCAGTGTTTTTCCTTAGTTTTTATGCATTTCATAAAGATGATAGAACATGAGTGACATAAATGCTCAGCTTGTGAAGTGCATTTAAACTTTCCAATTAACTGCCAAATTCAAAATCAAAATTTGTTAACTTTTTTCTCCTAATTTATTAAAGTACAGTGACAGTTTGAATACAATTTACTGGTACTGTGTGTGTGAACCAAAGTGATCTGGAATGAATGGAGTGGTGCTTTGGAGAGAAGTATGCTTTAGATTCAGAAACGGAAATTTTTCTCTCAGATGATCAGAGACTTATGTAAGCTTGACGTAAGAGCACTGCAATATTTAAACGTCGATCCCATGCCCACCTATTATTGTTATTATTCATACCTGCGTGAACTGAAGATAAAAGCTGTCAATAGCAAAAACTGTCACCTGTCGTTTGTTACATGCACAGGTTTTGTAGAGGTTGCCTTTTGTCGGTCCAATGTACCCATGTTTCGTCGTATGTCCCTTGTCTTCCATTATTATGTCTTCACTTCATCCCTTGATCTATCTCAAGTTAATTGACTGGAAAAATACAATCTTGCTTTTTGATGCAGGGTTCTATTATTCCATAAACAGAATTGTTATTTGAAGTCATGCCTGAATTTTCATTGGCGCTTGACTGACAGGGTCTTCATGGTAACGGTGTGGAAGGACATGTGCGGTTGCTCATACATGTTGATGAGTGATGGGCCATGCTGTAGCGTGCTCATATATTTTGATGATTGATGGGCTTTGCTACAGTGTGCTTCTTGGAACTGGGTTCTTTGCATCATGGCGCGATGCAGAACATTTTCATCTCACCCAGTTCTCAAGTTTCTTTTCACACTCACAGCTACCTCTTTTCTTTTTTTTGTGATCTCTCATGCTGTCACCTTTTTTTTTTTCTTCTTCTTTAAGCGTGTTGGGATTAATATTTTGGACATACATCAGCTGTCCTGAGAGTGACGAGGGTCTATTAATTTAAAACTCATGTTTATTGCCCGGTGTCCTTTGCTTTTAGTTTTTTGAGCGTATAACACTGTCACGGAAAGTGGCTTCACAAACCTTTGTAGAATTGCTCTATTTGAAGATTTTAGAGATCAATTTAGGTAGAGAGGTAATGTCTTCCAGAGAGTAAAAGGATTGTTGACCCTGTTTTTAATCAGTTTATTTCTACATTTTAGAAAGCATTGTTTAGACAGCTTTTCTGTTTCGTGTTGTCGTGTTGAAGATATGCCTGACTCGAATGAAATTTTACTTGTTCGAGGTGACTTCCAGCTCTGCTCACAGGCCTTGAACTTGGGGGGAAAAAAGTACTTCACATGATGAAGGTTGTGAAATACCACTTAAAGTTAAAATGCCCACCCCTTTTATCCGCGTTTTATTTAGTAAAATTCTCACTCAATGAAATGTGGGTGTCACTTTTAAGAGGGTTTCTTTTTCTGTTTTCCCTTGAATTTATTATTTGATATCTGAATCTCTCCTATGACAGTAAGTTATCAAGCTCAAGATAAAAACCAAAGTCAGTCCTTTGCTGCCTCCAGAAGTCACCACCACAAATTATCTGAGGATGTGGCAATGCTGTGAAGTGCCTGTTATTCAGATAAAGAAATAAATAGTGTCTCCTTTAAAAATCACCTGCATAAAATTGGAAATTGAAAAAGGAATGTTGAACATAACCAAATGTAAAAACTTTAACATACCCAATGCTTGAGCCTTGTTAACCTATATTTTCTCAGTTATAAAAATATCAATGCGGTCATCAGCTCATAAATATTGGTAGCCTATGTTTGAGATGAATTAAAAACCAAAAAGTAGGCTCTATTCTATAATAAGTTTGCAAATCATTTTAATATTATCACTGTCCAAGCTTTATGCCCCAGAATTACTCACTGGCAGGGCACTAGCCAGGTAACACAAGATTGACATCTTGAGATTTGCTCTAAAACATTTTTGTCAGCAAGGTGAAGTTTTCTCTTGTAGCTTGATGCTTGCAGTTGCTTTGCTTTTTTTTTTTGCTTTTTTTTTTTTTCTTCTTCCTGTTTGGTTGTGGGATCATCATGCAATCACTGCAGTGCTTAGCTGCATTTTGTTGATATATAATACTGACATCTCTCACTACACAAAATTTATTATGGTAAAATAATAAAGTTGAATAAATAAGTATCATAAAAAACAAGACAATGACCATTGTTTACTGTCTTTTTTTTATTTTTCTCTTATTTTCCCGCATACAGTACAGTGGAACTCAGATTGAACGAAGTTGCCGGGGCTGAACTAAAAAAATCTCGTTGAATCCGAGTGTTCGTAATAGCAAACATAAGGTTTTGTGTAATTACAATTACAGGCACTGAGCAAGTAATGAATAAAGAGAAGTAATATACGTTGCCTGAAATGCCTGCATATTATGAGCTGTGCAAAAAAAAAAAAGACCAATTAGTTCAAATGCACGCCGTGTTATCTCGATTGTTTGCCAAAAAGTTGTGTTTCTGTGTAGAGCCTACCATACGGCAACTTTTGATTCCATAGACCAGGGCACAATTCAATACGTAGATCTACGTCAAGACTAGCTTATCTTTGTAATAATGATCAGTTGCCCTGGGGGAAGGGAGCAACGCATTTGTACCTGCGACGTTCCATGCCAGACCGCTGGTGGGGTGCTCCCCCCCCCCCCCCCCTGACACGCGCACACACAGTCACATGCGTGCAAGCCGCCCATCCGACCCCGACAAACACTAAGCGTAGATTACATATGTGCGCGTGTTGGTATGAAAGAAGGCCGCTGATTGGTCGCATGCAATCGGCAAAGCAAATTATGGTGTAGATGCAATGGATGGTTTCAAAGTTCATTGTGGGAGAAAAATGAGTAAAGCCATGTCTGCGGAGGCTCTTCACCCTGGAAGCGACCTCGTTGAATCCAAGCTTGCTGATTTAAGTGCTCGTCGAATCCAGGTTATTTTTATTGATTTTAAAAGAAGAAAAAAAAAAACCCGGGGAATTCATCTCCTCTCATTGAATTAATCTGAGTTCTTATTGAATCCGAGTTCCACTGTATTTACTTGCACGTGCCAGTAGTGATTAACAAGTCGTTTCTTGTTGAGACCAATTGATATGAAATGCATGCCAATAGAGGAATCGGACCAGTGCCTGTGGTGTAATGTATTACCCACAGAAGACCCAAGTTTGTTTCTAAGTTCTGTGACTGAAGTGTCTTTAGGCCATTCCCAAAGGGGGGACATTAACTCGTTCTTATGCACAGTAGAGTTGTAAATGGGCTGATTCACCGATGTCATGCTCATAACTGTGCCGGAACTGCAACAGGGAACTGCTGCTTTTTCTTTCCTAATCCTTACTATCGTCATTTTTCCTCTACATGTACTTCTTTTGTCGTTTTGTATGTTTGTCCCACTCTTGTGACCCACTATTTCCGGGGTGCCTTGATAGTCGAAACAGACTTTGTGCTGTTGAAGTTGAAGCTAGAGAGGTGAGGAGAGTAAGTCTGATTCCCTGTAAGGACTTCTCTGTTGACATCCACCCCTTGGCACTCATACTCATATGACCTTATGCAGTTACGAGCGCCGTAAAACATCTACTACTAAAACAAAAACTAAGTTCTATACATGTAGTAGGGAGAAATTTTATTGTGTATCCTGGTCTTTCTGCTGGGATGTTGATGTTGTATCCCTCTTAGCCCAGGCAGGTTTCATCCAGTTCAAGTTCAAGCCTGCCTCCTAAATGATCTAAATTGAGTTGATGGGGTGGCGGGAGCATTAAAAAATCATCAAAATGTTGTTTTAAAAAGCCCCACTAGTACCCAAGTTCTGATTCCTTTGGAAAGCATACATTTAATATCAATGCTGAAAACTACATTCAAATCTCACACCACTAGGTTTTGTCAATGTATGAAAAGGAAACACTGCCAGCGAACAGGCAGCCAGAGGCACTCACTGCACACAGCACCTACTCTGCAGTTGCGCACGGACACCTCCCTTTCTCCCACACATGACTCTGCAAGCTGGTGCTTGAAGATTTGCTCCCTCCCCATCCTTGTACTACGGTAGCCTCTGATCCCACAATACATGTGATTTTCAATTTTGATTTATACACACGCACAAACAGAGAGACAATTTTTTTAAAATGTATTTTTAATTTAGATCATACAGAAGGTGAGCTGACCCTGCCTGTTCCAGCCAACCTAAACTGAAGAAAGGGACACAATGTCCCAGCCGAATGACTGAGATCCTCGATAAAAAAACTTTTCTCACAAGGGAATAACTCGCATAATTTGCAAGAAGGGTGAAGCACCTAATCACTATTCCACAGAAGCAGGTTGAGGCAGGGAGACAAAGCCTCTCACGGTCTGCTCTAATTTACTCTAAATAATATTAACAAAAAAAACAACCCCAAAAAACATTATACCGCCAGCCCCGCAATGCCAAAAAAAAAGATCAGAGAAAGGTATACGAGGACATGGCCTCTACTACATTTATCAAGAGGTCCAAGTTAAGATAAAGACACTCTGGTAAGTTCTGCGAGGTTGACTTTGAGGGTAATACAACAGAAAGACTGCAATACATGTACTCTATAAAAAGTTCTCCCCATTCAAAGTCAGGTCCCTGTGTGCGACAGCGAAGCATCTAACCACAGACACCAGTCTACAAGTGAGAAGCAGAAGACAATCAAGGCAAAGCTGCTCTTCGCAAATTTATTTGTTGAACATTCTCCCTCTGGCAATAGCTGACCATGCTAGACACCTGTTCCAGAAAATGTTTCCCGATTCAGATATGGGTCAGAGTTTCAAAATGTGGACGCACAAAGGCAAGGAAGCTTAGTGCCATTGCTATAGAGGCAACAGAATCTTGCAAAGGCTGAGCAATCAAGGCCATTTTCTCACTGAACGGATGTGAGCAATGACAAGGGATCAGAGCAGCAATATTCCACTGCTCTGGGGTGTCATGGTGACAGAAAAGTCATCACTGACAACACTGATGTCTAATCAGTTCCAACTCCTTGTGGTAGTTCAGGAGAGGAGAATATCTACCATGCCCCTGACAGTGAGTTCACTACACATGGACTTCATTGGGACATGCGGATCAGTTCTATTGCTGACAATGCTTATATAAATGTGATGCTTGGCCACTTGAATTGTGAGGCTCGGCTACCCAGTTCACTGAGCAGAATTCTGTCTGATTAAAGGCTTTTGTTTTTTAGAGATGTGCATTGGATGTTTTTTCACCCGCGTTGACACAATTAGATCATTTTTGGAAGCGGGGTTGACCCTGCCTGTCAGGGCCAACACAGGCTGAGAGGGATAAAACGTCCCAGGAAGACTAAAATACTCAATAAAAATACTCCCCACATGGGAATTGAAATCGAATCTCCGGTGTGTGATGGCAAAGCATCTAACTGATACGCCACGCACACCAGGGTTTCAAGGCTGCCCATGCTACCTTTTGAACATTGCTGCAAAGAAAGCGGCAGAGTCTTTGCATTGCTCTATTGAGCGAGATGAACCTGATTAATGTGTTTTACAACCTGGAAACCAGCAAACAAATAAAGTATACCGGTATTAGGCGTGTCTGAAATCTGTCTACTATTAAATTTAAACTGTGTTTCCTTTTCACACACATAAGAGAAAGACACGGTGACATTAAATGGAGTGCTCAGAGCACATACACTCAATACTTTATGCTATAACAAGCTTGCACCAGTAAACAAGAGCTTCACGTTAGACACCTGGAGGCTATTGAACAGGCATGTAGCAAACTAGTTTTGCCTACATCATGGTGAGTTACACACACAAAATATTCTTTGCCAGACAAAGTGTGAGTAAAAAAAATTTTTTATGCCGGCTCATGTCATGCCACTGGTTTTCCCTTTTTCCAGTGACACCCTGTGAAGTTGTTTTTTTTAAAATTACAGAGTGGAAGCTTAGTGTTCATTTTTGTAGGCGGAATGAAATTCTATGTTTGACATACTGCAGTACATTTCATTTTGAAGACCTTGCACTCAAGTTAGTTGTCAAAACAATTTCATTTTTATAACTTCAAAAAATATACACGAATAATGATACTTACACATATTGTGAATACATGACATACTTTTAACTGAAACTATAAACAGTTCACGTCTCGCAAATCAAAGGCATGCAGACTGTGTACTTTCTAATGCTCTTTTTAATGGACAAAACATTTTCAAAAAGTGCAACTTCCTTCCCTTGTTGGAAGGCTGAAAAATGGCAGAATACAATGAACATACTAGTGAAAACTGAAAGGTTGGCCATACAATATTGCCCCTTTTTTAAAAACTCCATTCTGCTAATTTGCAATCTATAACCTACTTTTTACATCTGTTGTGTTTTATTGCCTTGTTGTGTTTCATTGCCTTAATTGGGCGTCATTTTGTATTTGTTGCATTTTATTGTTGTTTATACCGGTTTCAAAACATATAGATCTGCTTTATTTCAGATATGGGTAAAGTCGACAAGGGTATATATAATATAACAAATATTCACGTGATGATTTGCAGAAGGCAGTTGAAGCTATACGGAATGGACAGAGCTGTTCTGGGGCAGCCAGAGAGTATAATATTCCTAGAAAGACTTAGCAGATAATGTCACAGGCAGATCTACCCTTGCCCGTAGGACTGGGAGGGAAGAAACATACCCACAGATATAGATAAAAATATTGTAGATAAGGTAACAGCTTCTTCAAAACTGGTTTCCCTTTAACCATACAGCAATTTTTGCTGAAAAAGGGAACTGTCCCCAAGAGGCTGGGACTCAAGACACAGTTCAAAGATGGGAAGGACTATTGGTAGGAATTAAAAAAGAGGCGTCCAGACCTTGTGATTCGAACCCCACAAAACTGTGCCTCGAAATGCTCAATATGATGACCAGGCCAGTAGTAAATAAATATTTTGATGATCTGGAGGGTTTGGTGAGGAGTTTGGGGCTGGAAAACAAACCTGACAAGTGACCAAGTGTGGAAATGCGACGAGACAGGTTCGCAATTCTCACCTGATGCCTCGAAAGTGACAGCACAGAGAGGAGTTCGGAACCTGGTTGCGCCATGCAGTCCGTCAACGGAGAGTGACGACATTGGCCTGCATCAAGGCTGCTGGGAAGGCCATTCCTCCACTCTGTGTTGTGAAAGGCAAGACCATAAAATCAGTCCAGTCCTT